AATTGAAAGAGGCAGTGCATGTACTGTTCTCTGGTTTAGAAACAGGGCTATTTTTTTTTTTCAGGATTCTCGAAATATTGTTACAAACATATTCTTGCACTCAATTTAAAAAGATCAATTGCAATAAACTATTACACATATATAAACAAAATAATCTGTACAATATATGATATAATTCATTTGATAAGCACTAAAAATATTGCGCATTTCTGCAACACCCAAGCATTGGTGCACCAGTTAAGTACATACATACGAGGGCCATCCAGGAAGTAGATTACGTTTCCGTCTGTGTCCGCTAGGGGCGGGGCTAGCGCGGCCATCTTGGGGTCAGAGCGTTGCGCAGCTCAGTCTGCATCTAGCCGTGCTAGTGAGAGGTTCGTGCTGTGCTCCGTTCAGATACTGTGACGGTTTGAAATGTCTGCATTAATTGAAAATCCCGCGAGCTGCGAGCTGCGAGTGCGCTCAGTAAATAAGGTTTCTGACTGCAAAAAAACTGTAAACCGATAGAAATCTATCGGCCAGCTTCGTGAAGTGTATGGGGACAACATTATCACTGAAGGTGGAGTGCGTCAGTGGGTCATAAGATTTCAAAATGGCCGAACCAATGTTCACGATGAAGATCGAAGTGGGAGAACCCAGCATAGTGACAGCCGAACTTCTCGAAAAAGTCGATGCTAAAAGTCCGTGAAAATCGAAATTTCACAATAACGGAACTTTCTTTGAGTTTTCCACAAATTTCGCGAAGTTTGTTGCACGAAATCATCAGCGAAAAGCTTGGTTACCACAAGTTTTGTGCAAGATGGATTCCAAAAATCTTGACAGAGGACCACAAAAATCAGCGAATGGCTGCAGCGTTGAACTTTTTGGATGCTTACCATAAGGATGGTGACTCTTTACTCGATCGCATCGTTACTGGTGACGAAACATGGGTGAAACATGTGAAACTGTGAACTGTGTGAAACGAAATTGCAATCAATGCAGTGGGGGGCACACAAGTTCTCCCCAAAAACCCAAGAAATGCATGCAAACAATGTCGGCAAGGAAGATGATGGCGACTGTTTTTTGGGACAGAAAAAAGGTGTAATTTTGGTGGACTTCCTGGAAAGAGGCACTACAATAAACTCTCAAAGGTATTGCCAAACTCTCCAAAAAACTCAGAAGAGCAATTCAAAACAAGCGCAGAGGAATGTTGAGCTCTAAGATCTTGTTGATTCACGACAACGCCCGGCCCCACACGGCAAATGTCACTCGTTAAAGTTCTTGAATCTTTTAAGTGGGAGTTGTTTCCTCCTCCGCCGCGTACAGTCCCGACCTGGCACCGAGCGACTTCCACCTATTCCCAGCAATGAAGAAGTGGGCTGGCTATGCAGTGTTTTGATGACGACGCACAGCTGCAAGAAGAGGTAACGAAGTGGTTGAAGGCGCAGGCGGCCGAATTTTTCGACGAAGGAATTTCCAAGCTCGTACATCGCTACGATAAATGCCTTAATTTGTATGGTGACTATGTAGAAAAGTAGTATTTGAGTGTGGCTTTCATCTGTATATAATAAAATTTGTTTCCTATACTTTGTTTATTTTTTTATTCCAAAACGTAATCTACTTTCTGGATAGCCCTCGTATAATGACGTAATACAATCATAATATTAATACAATATTATGTTACACTATTATATTGCAATATTAATGCACTTTATAAATCTGTTGTACATACATTAATACTGTTATGCAGAATGTATACCGGAGACAAAAGTTCGAATGGAATTTAAAGAGATGTCTATGTTGATACACCATTGTCTTGAAAAATATGCATATTGTGTATTTTTTAAGTTCATAGCATTTCTTTTCTCCAACAATATGGCAGTTGGTCCAATCACAGTGACAGTTCTGGATTGCCACTGCTCTTAGCTATGGCAAGATGGTGTTACTTAGTTGAAAGGAGATTCTATGTTGAAAGGAGATCTATTTCAGTGCATTCCTGGATATGTCTGAGTACATATCTATTACAGGAAACGTCATTTGCCCTTACATGTTTTGTTCAGCTTATGGAATGTGGAGATGATTAGCACTTGCTTCTAGGCAATCAAAAGTGTAATAGTCTGGGTCTAAAAACTGCATACTGTCCTAAAAATCAAAAGAAATACATGGGCAATGTCTTGTCAGGAACTGTATGGGCCATGTCTTGTCAGGAATTGTGTCTTGTCAGAAGAACCGCTGCATAACTTATCTCTGGCCTTGAGAAGTTAATTATGTACTCTCCTACCAGTACTGCCGTGTGTCCCAGGAACTCTGCCATTATTCCATTTAAAGGGCCCTAGTGGTTGCTTTCATGTGTGACTTCAGGCATGGCATGTACAAAATCTGTGTACATTTGTTTGTGGTTGCCAATACAACAATTTCATCTGCTTTTTTGGGGGTGGGTACTCTGGTGTGTGCATAGACCCATTGGAGCTCTGGTCTAATATTTGCAAGCAAGGAGAATAGCATTCTCTGAATTTTTTGGCATTCCTACTTTTTTAACCCCGTATAAAGTGGGGTGACTCAGTGCTAAGAACATATATAACTAATTTATGACCAACTAGAATGCTGTGCTGAAATGTTGCTCTAAGTGCTGCAAGCTCAACCTACAACATGGTACTCACAAACTTTAGTCTTCGTGCCCAGGTAAATACACTGCTGATGTCTTCTATCACACGAAAGCCACAGCCTGACATTGGTCCCCCTTTGATCTATTAGTGTATGCTTCATATGACTCAAGAGTTGGTGGAAGTTAGAGTTTCATATCAAGGTCGAATTCTGCCAGGTGGCAAAGCACTGTTGAATTACTGCACTCATAATCAGTGCTGATGAATTCTCTGTCTCACAGAGATGCATTAGTCCAGTCTCACTGTGTAGACTAAGTGTGCAGACTATGACATTTTCCCTTTGTAAATATAGAGATGAGAGAAGGCCAGATAGAACGTTTAATGTATTGGTAGGGTATGATCTATATCTATATGATCTATAGTGGCTCAAGGCAAGGCCCTGTGAGAAGCCCCTATTGATGGAGGTCATAGAAGCCTTAGTCCATTTGTAGCTGGGATATATCTGTTGTTTAATCCCTTCTTGGTCGCCCCCCTTTTTTTAATTTCCAATTTTAAAATTGCTTTTTGTATTACTAAAAATTAACTATATTCTATCTTGAATTCAGCAATACAAAACATTTTTGTCAATAAGGTGGTTTTTGCTTGATCTACTGGGTTCATGCAAGTAATATCCCGTTCATAGATCTCCAATTTTCCCCAAAATGCACCCAAATATTAAATTTAAAAAATACTCTCTGATACAATATATATAACAAATCTATTACTTTGAGGTTCTTAAGATAAGTTACTGCATAAAAAGAACTATTAAAAATACATAAAAAAGTGTTTTGGAAAAAAGTTTTATAACATTACGCAGTAAACAGCTCTACAATCTTTTTTGACCATCAGAGCGTAAAAACCACACTGAAATCATTTATTGCAGATTATTTTATTGTTTACTTTGTCAAAAAAAGAAACCTTGAATATGTAATTCATTTTCTTCAAACCCACACTTTTAATCCAATATAAAAGCTATTTTAGTATGCAAGAACAACTAAAGAGAGCGAAATTACAGAAAGTAATGTTCTATACAAGGCAGGAAATCTCACTGTAAAAAATGTGAAAAAAGTAGGACTAGTAATTCCAACTCTTAGCAATATTCAGAAGTACAAAAAATAATCGTGGAATATAACAAGACATGCAAGTAGCAACAAATTCACCTTCAACAATGCAATTTCACTCTTTGCTGCATGACTTGATGTCAGCCGTGATAGGGTTCAGTAGCTCTTCAACAATTTATATAGAGTTTGGGGACAGGCCATGTTTTATACTCTACTTAATATATCAGGCCACCACAATGAATCAAAGGTGCCCCATTATGTCTAAGGAAATAATTAAATGTGTGAATATTGTCACATTTGTTATTTACAATCACAAAGTACAGTTTCTCTTGAGACATGGTAGACTGACATACCATATGGGAAACCAAACTGGTTAAGGTTCAGCAAATGCAGTGATTTTATACAGAACATAAATCATTAGAGTACCATCTTTCCGTGTACCTTGCCCACAGCAGTGATGAGACAGGTGGGAAAATATAAAGCTTCTTCTTTGGGATTTTGCCCATTCTTCAAAAAAAGTGCTATTTCTGCTGTCTTTGTTCCTGTCTGAAAGTGCTTATTTTTCCAGCAAGGTGTTAATACATGCTATTAATACTGGTGGACATGCACAATATATATTTTTACTTATATTATTATCAATCCCATTTGGCTCTGGCAAAACTGTTTTCAATATTCATAATTCATTGTGTTAAAACTTTTTGGTCCAAATGTTTTCCTCAATTTGTAGTGCACTGCAAAATCTCCTTTTCCACTACAGGAATTTTTTAAATGTGTTGAGCATATCAAGAAAAATGCATATCCTTAGTCAACTTCAGGAAAAATTCAAATTCTTTTACATGGGATTCTTTAAAGCTCTGATTATATTTTGGCATACTTAGCTAACTGCTAAATAATAAAAGTAATTATTCAATAGCTAAAACAAATTTAAAACATTTGTTAAAAAAAAAAAAAAAACTCTTTTTATTTCATATCAGTTATGTTTAAAATCTCTTCACTTCACTTCGATTTGAGGATTGATGCTGATCGACATTTTGGACAGGAATCCTATTTTGGCATTTTTCTTAGCCAAATGTCTCACCTGTGGATACAGGATCATGCAATTCATAATATTGGCTGTTCAAGTTCATTCTGCCAATGGAGAAAGAATAAAATCATGCCAGTAAAGGCAAAATAAAAAGCTAAAATTAAAAACCAGAGGGTAGTTTGCAACTATGTTACATGTTGAAGTTTTAAAAATAATTTAAATTCCTTGGACAGTTGGCAGCTATGTTACATGTTAAAGTTTTAAAAAGTAATTTTAAATTCCTCATACACATACTTCATTACTTGTACAACAGTATTTGGACCAAACCACTGCCCAACTTGTTTTTCTAGCAAATTCCCTTTTATAGCTAGATAATAAGATGAAAAAATATCAGTACATATAAATTCAAAGAAAATTAAAACACATATAAATTAGAGCAACAAATAAAGGGAGAGAGATGGTAAATCCTATAAAAACTGTTAATTTATATTAGTCAATTTCAATTTTGCATGCTTCATAAAATTTCAGAACATTTAAAAACAATATATTACATAAGATTAATTACCTATTTTATGAATAGAATACTGACATTCAATTTTATCATTGAATTGCCAAAGAATCTTCTGATAAATTTCATCATCATGGTTAGGCTTCCATGTCCAGTCTAGGAAAAATAATTCACTTTACAAGAATTTGTACTTAGCAAAATTACAAAAGGATGATAACATTTAACCAACACAAAAATCTGAATTGAAATCATAACGCTATTTTAACTTTTATAAGAATTTATATTTATAGTATTTGTCTGCCTTCTCTCCAATCATCAAGAATGCAATATATTAAGACATAAAAGTACAAACCAAAAAAAAAATTATTATTGCATATAACCCCTGCCGAATGCGAGGGTTACGTCATTAACACATTGTGTGTATAGCAAAAATGCTTTCTCAAAAATTAATTTTCTATGGAAAAAAACCAGTTAGGCAGAGTTCAGCTCAAGAATGTATGCAAATTATCCAAACATAAATATTATTGCAATTAAAAAGGGGAGAATGAAACAAATGTTAAGTGAAAGGGTTTCTGTTACTGCTTAATAACATAGGTTTTTGATACAATATGTTTGGGAGACTATGTCCGCCACAATTCATTAAACATTTCACAGTAAAGAGTGTACAGCTTTTAATCACTCACTAAGCATCCTCTTCTTTGTTTTGGTCAATCATTTCGATTATTTGGGTCTTCATTACATCATTAAAAAAATCAGACAATTTTCCTGCAGTTTTTTTTTTTTTTTTTTGTCATAGAATCATTTAATTCTTTGTTTTATCATTCTTGACTAATTCTCTAATTTCTCCTTCTTCGATATTTGAAAATTCTTTCCTGCCTACTGGCAATTTGCATGATTTCTTTTGGCTTCATTTTCAATCAACAGAAATTCTTTAAAATTTTGACAACTTCTAGGCAGAGCGGATGCATTCATTGATGATGAATTCACTTGTTCCCATGAGGATTTAATCATTTCAATGTAGTGTCTTATGTTGGATTACTTCTCCCAAATCTATCAGTGTATTGTGCTTAATTTGCAGAGCTGTAAACAAGTCTGACATAATAGTGATGTAATTTTTTTATAATTCCTTGATCCATTGGTTGGATTAAGGTAGTGGTAAGATATGCTGTGCTTTATGGAAGGAATAAAAACTCTATATTTGGATGCAATGTTGTAGGAGCTTCAGTACTGCATCCCAGAACCCTATCGAGAATTAGGATACTTTTAAAGCTCAGGTTTTGTTGTTCTAAATAATCTTTGACTTCTTCAATGTATTTATTTTCAAAACAGTCATTAAAGCAGAGTATAGCAATGCGGCCAACGCTCTGCAGTAGGCTGCATATAATTGAAATTTCACATGTCGGACAAATTAAATGGAGACAATTAAGATAATGCATATAGGCAAAATTACATTTATTAAGTTCACATTCCAAAAGCGTTTAATGTACACAAATAATTTATTCAGAATTTTTGAAAAAAATAATTCCTGAATCATCGCTGATAATTGCACTTCTTTGATTTTTAAAATTAAGCTAATTAAAATTAGAAAAAAAGAAAAAAAAAGCTTTCCTGAGAAAAGTTAGCATAAAAGGAAATGAAGCTCATTAATAAAAAGATAAATATTACTACATGTTAAAAATATTATGAATTTTGTGTATATGTAAATAATTTTAGTAAAGCTACACATAAAATTGTAGTATATTTTTTATAATGTAACAAGAAATGCTTGAAAGGGACAAAGTTATGCCAGAAAAATAAGAATACAGGAGCAAGTCTATTTAACACTGAGTAAATGGCTATCTCGCTAAATTGGTGAGGTATCGCTAAGCACAAGATGGTTTTGATCACTAATTTTTGCCGCTAAATTCGCAGGTGAGAAATAGCCAAAAGTTGCCAAAGTTGGCAGCATTTCAGTCCAATCCCTATATAACTAATTGATACTGTAATTGATCTCTATATGCAACTGTAATCATACCCAGCCCTTAGATGCAATTTTAACCACATATGCCTTTCATTAATTTCCAGAAATGAAATTTACTAGAGATTTCTCGGCAGTCAAGCGAAAACTACATAAAACCAGACAGAACACCACTACTGTTCAGTGCTGAATTCGGAATTATTGAAATATCCATGACAGCTTCACCTTTTAGATGTGTTTTTGCATTGTGCTGTGTTTAATGTTCTTAGTAGTTTTAAGTGGTAACTAGTAAATGTGATTTGTGCTACTGAGAAAAGCTGTATGAGTACATTGGGGAAAATTCCATAACTGTAAAGTGTTTCTTTTGGTAAAATAAATTTCATCAAGGTATCATCAATTCTATGTGCATTCAGTCCATTACAAACTCGTACACACGTAACAGTATTTTATCCTAGTTACCTATCAGTACACAATCTCTTGATTAAGCTGCATATTCATACTTTTATTTAAATTACACTTTTATACATGTTCTAATATAAACATTTCCCACAGTAAACATTCAAACAAAAAACGTTTCCAGCTGATAGTTAAATATATATATATTATACAAACCCCTTTTCAAATATCGCCAGATAAAAGCTTGTCCCATGAGCATTTGGCCACAGCGGTGCATACAACCCCAACCAGAATCAGATGTTAAACCAGAATCACCTATAAAGTATTTAGAATTTACTTGAAAAGGAGAGAAAACAGGACATATCAAAAGAAATATACTGTATATTTCGGCATATAACACACACCTATAATTTAAAACTACACTTTTTTAATTTTTAGGTATATGCACTGTATAATGCACACCCTTTTGTCAAATGTGTCATGCCAGTCTAAAAATAGTGTGCGAGTGGATAATAAAAGTATTGTATGAAATCAAAAACCTAATTCAAAAGCCATTTAAAAAATATAGTACATCTAACAATCTAAATGGAACGGAAGATAATTATTTATTTATGGATCACAGCAATGAGATGGTCAAGATGATATAGAATTCAATGATATGCCCAAAGAAGTACTGGAAGGCAAATAATATGACTAACTTTTCATGTTACCTGATCATGAAAAATTTTATCTTCATAAGTAAGGTATGTCATTTCTTTTAAATAAACAGCATTTAAGTAGATGTAGAAATCTAATTTTTGTGTGCTCATCTTTTCCATATTTTTAAATCTATAGATTTTATATCTGGTGTATAAAACACCTGTAAATTTCAACCTTATTTTTTTGTATCTAAAGTGCGTGTTATACACTAGAACATATGGTAATGAAAACACAAATGATTATAAAAAGATAACAACAAACTTAATAGCTTGTAAATGAAACAGAAAATCAAATGTTTAAAATACACTACAAGATTTTAAAAAAAAAAAAAAAAAAAATCTTACAAAATAGCATTTATTATTTCAAAAATTATATCATCAACACTATTCTGTCCACAATTTCATTTGCAATAAACAATGTTTTGGCTATCAGGAAGTATGACAACTGAAAACATTTTTCTTTTCCCTGGTTTTTCAGTGCTAACTAAAGTACAGAGAGTGCATCATGCTGAAAATAAATGTATACAAAAAGCAATCTTAGTTATAATGAAAAACGTTTTATTTTGCTAATAAACACCACAAAAAAATTAGACCAGCACTGTTTCTTTTCCTTTCACGTTCTAGCATGACTGAAGTTATGCAACTTTAGGTTAGTCTAACCATTAAACCATTTATTGACCAAAAGGAAAGATCTGCTTTTTAATTATCTGAATAAATTCTGAGATATGATGGTTTTGGGCCAACACAGACTTTTGCTTAATGAAAAACTAAGAAATCTTTTCAGATTTAGCAGATGAATTAGTAGTCAAATTTGATGTGTCTGTCTTTGACAGTTCTGATTGAATTACACAGATATATCATAATTATTTATCTTTACCATAAGCTAATCTATCTAAATCTATCACATGTATATGAATACACTCAATCACAATCTAGATCTAGTTCTTCTCATAGCCAAGTAAGTTTTCCAAACATGCAGAGCTCAAGATGGTTGCTCTTGTTACAAATGATGAAAGGTATCTTCTGTAACTGGCTGCATATGCACACATGGGTGGCTCCACTGTACATGCTCTCCAAGATGCTGCACTAAATACATTCTTGTTGAAAACATCTGCTGTTTCTTTAGCTCTTGAGAAATGTATGTTCCTTACTAGTAGAAAGGTTCCTTACTAGTAGAAAACGTTCCTTACTAGTAGAAAAACTATTAAGGACTATTAAATTATTTCTGATTCTCTTTTGAAAAGGAGACAACATATTTCCTTATAATGGATTTCCAGCCACTATAGCACTATTGGAAATTAACCTAGTAGATGGCAGCCAAGGTCATTCTGATTTATCTCTGCCTTATTCTCTTGCTGATTTTTTCAGTACAGTAAAGAAAATTATTAAGTACAGCATTAATGCACATTGACAAAACCTCTCTAAAGAATGGGCTGGGCAAAAGTTCTGGAATTCCTTACTGAAGTCTCGGGTTGCCCTTAGCATCCTTATAGCCCAGAACATGGTGAATTTTTCTTTCAGGACTGTCCGTCAGAAGAAATCTCCATTGTGTGGGTCTGATAGACTTGCCAAATTGCCCTATGATACCTGGCTAATATAATTAGAAAAAATCTCCACATTTGTCCTGATCTTAAGGATCCTATAGACAGTATTTCTGCACAGAATATTAACTTTTCGTTTATATTAAGACTTTATTGTGCTCCCCAATACAGACTAATGTCTGAAAACTGAAGTCTGGCATAGAATATTTTTTAAAAAAATTCTTTCTTGCTCTTTACTGTTACAATTACTAAAGATTACATGATATTGTTCTGATATAAGTAAAAATAGAATATGTTAAATTTTCAAAACAATTTCCTTCTTTTTTTAATCAAAGATTTTGATTAACTAAAGATTTCCCCATATAACATTCACATTTTATATGAGGAAAAGGTAAATACCCACTATTTTAGCACAAGAGTACAATAATTGCAGCAAAGATCATTTTCATTTTATAAAAATTATTTACTCTGAATAACTGATGATCTTTTACTAATTATCACTACCTTTGTTCAGAGTAGATTTTTCTTTGGAAAATCTTGACGGATTACATATTTCAACATCTGGTTTCTAATACTCTGACACACATTTTGAAATTATTACCAGCATTATAATCAGTCCAGAGATCAGAAGAAAAATTATAATCATATCTTTATCATGAGAAGCCAAAAAATCACCTAGCTGTGAAAGCTGGAAAATAGTTCATCTCAAAGTTTGGTTTCTGATGGCTAAACTGACTAACTGCATGAGAAGCCAGTTTTTCTTAGAAACCCCTCCTTCATTTAAGGCAAATGATATTTGCATGCTTTGACATAATTATTTAATTGTGTGCAACAGAATACTGGTTAAATTACTTCAAAAGAAAATGCTGGTAACTTCTTAAAAGTAAAAAGGTAACTGCTAGTAACAAGATCAATTTCTCACAATAATAATCTGCACTACAAAGGATCTGCACAAGTCGGTCATTAGAGGGGGAAAATTGTGTTTATACCGAGTCTAAAGATTAAAAAATATAAAAAAGATGATTTGCACCTGCTGTTCAATAATGACTAAATGAAACAATCTACTCTAATCTTTTAAATGCAGAGCTCAGTTCTTTTTATGTGAATTTTATATGCATATGCACTTTTAAATAATTCAAATTTACAATATTTGCATAGCCTCAATTATTTTACCATGATTATTTTGAAAAAATTCTGCTCTTGCCAGCTCTGCAAATATTATATTCCCATTTTAGCATCTTGTATCCGATGTTTTAAAATACGTCCCATTACAATTCTCAGCCAGCTATTTTATACATATTTCTGACTACATTATCAACATCTGAGATTTAATTGCCTGTTATTAATTTAAATACCCTCAAGGTAGCAGCATAAGGTGTGCCCATTCTGTTCAATTTAGGACTAAATAAAAAAAATTATTTCAACCTTATTCAGGAACAAGTTCCCAATTACAATAGAACACTATATCTGGCACCCAAGCTCATCACAAACCATATCACAAGACAATGTCTCTTTTGGCCAGCCCGGTCGGTCATCCCAGACTCGCATTGAGGCAGGCATAGTGTACATAATAGCGTCCAATGAAAGACTTTACGTTTGACACTATGACTGCCTCAATGAAACCACGCAACAGTTTTGACAGTAGAAATTCGGTGTTGACTTTTTTAGAAAGTGTGGAAATGTATTTTTTACTATACCTGATTGGAGAATTGCAAAAGTTGGCCATAGCTACTGTGCTGCAAGGTCAAGTTAACCTAAATTGGTTAAAAGATATTGGGAAATATTTACTAGGTGAACAACCAACTGAGAATTATAAGTTTGATGCATTTAAAACTGCCCTTTTAAAAGCATTTCATGCTGAAAAGATAGCTCAAAATGAGAAACGGAACTTTATGGCATAAACCAAACTAAAGCAGATAAGTTAACTGATTTTATTTTAAGAAAAGTACTATTGACAAATTTCTTATATGGGAAAAAACTTGATTCAGAATTTATTCAGATAATATTACCCACGCTGCTGAGATATATTCAAGGCATTTTTTAAGCTAAAAAATCCTGGTACACTAGAATAGCTTTCTGAATTAGCAGTGAAATTTGAAAGTCAGTGCGAGTCAGTAAGTATGCTTAGAGAGAAATACAAGGAATGAATTAGTGGAAATTTTCGGAGACTCGCAGCTGCAAGTGATGTTAAATTTGACAGCAGGGGGCAATTTCATAATCGTGAAAATATTTCATCAGCTAATTGCAGACAAAAGTCTCAAAAAAGAAAGTGAAGGATAATAAACAGAAATCTTTTAAGTTAGCTGTCGGTGCTGTGGCTCAGGTCAGTCACCCCAAGATACAATTCTGATAGCTTCAAATTTTTACCTATATCTTCTCACCTCTCTGTAAAGTTATCTATGTATGATGGAAACGTCTCCTGGAAAGTGTACAAGACTCGGTTGTCTATAGTGCCAAATGCAAATGGATAGGCTTCTGAAACTAAGGCTTCCCATCTCTCTGTTTCTCTGACAGCAGATGCAGTAGACATCCTTCAAACTCTGCCTAAAAATCAGAGGCTAGACTTTGCAGCTCTATCCAGTGCACTGGAGCTGTACTTTGGCTAGAAATGTTTAAAAAACTATAGCAGGCTTCAGTTAGATCTCACCAACAGAAGGCCACTGAAACACACCAGGAGCTCGCCATGGATGTTGAAAGGCTGTCTCATCTGAACAAGAGAACTGCCAATCAGAAACAAGAGAAGTCTTGTTCCTACAGTACTTCATTGATGGCATCCGTCTTGAGACACACAAAGCCCTGCAAGTGGCTATTCAAAATTTATTTCTAGGTATCATCGGTTGTGTGTGCATTCAATCCATTATGAGCCTGTACACATGTAACAAAATGAAAATGTTTAGATGAAATTTTGTACAGAATAAATTTATATTTAAAAATTAAGTTAATACTGTTAAGCACTTATGCCCCTAGACATTAAAATTTTAAAATCTAAGCCAAAATTATTAAGACCTTTGTTCCTGATTATTTAAATTTTTGTGGAGGAAAATGCATGGTATTTTACTTCAGTTAACCAATTATTATAATTTAAGCCTTTACTATAAGTTTTTCTTTCTGTATTTCTCATTAAAATGCAAATTAGTTATGCATTTGAATGTTTAAATAACAGCCTTCTGTCAAATATGTCTTGCTGTTGCTTACTCTCACCAGCTCCACCTGAAGTTATATTCCAGCTTTAACATCTTGCTAGCCGGTGTTCCAAAATTGTACTGATAAAACTATGAGCAAGTTTAATTCGCCTGTTTCATGTGTAGCTCCAACTATGTTATGTACATTTAAATTTTAACTCTGTGTAATATTAATTTAAATACATGCAAGGTAAAGAAAGCTGTGATGTTTTTTTCAATTTAAGACTAAATAGAAAGGTTTTTTAACCTTATTCATAATTTGTGACTTGTTTAAGACTAAGCGGCAATTTAAAAAGTTCTGCAGGATTTAAACACAAGTTTCCAGTTACACTAGAACAATACATAGTAAGGCATTTAGTCCTAAATAATATTATATCATAATACAGAAGACAGAAACATAGTAAAATAATTAATAGTGTGGTACATGATTATGAGAATATTATATGAGAGAACACGAGATTATGAAAATATTTGAGATCTTTGTGCATCTCAAACAAGAGATGCATCATAGTTGTTTTGTCACTTTCGTTTTGCACACAATTTAAAAATCATAAAAAATAAGGTAAAAAAAAATATTTTCTTTGCATCATATTTTCTTTCATATATTTTCTTAACGGTGAACAGGTGAACGGTGTTTCTTTCATATATTTCATATATTCAATTTTTATTTTCTTTCATATATTTTCTTTTCATCATTGTGGGAAGTCTTCAGTATAGTAAAATAAAATAAGTACTGAATAAGTACTTTTGCAAGGTTCATACATATTTTAAGAAGTATCAATGAAAAAAAAAATTGTAAGGATCTAGGAGCAAAAAGAAATTAAATAAAATAAAACAAGTATTGGTGCAATCTATTTCACTCTTATAATACTATTAGAAGAGTGAACACATGAAACAGATGTATATGTAAGATGCATTATTATTAAACATTTTAATATTTAACATAACGATAAAACAAAAATTTCAGAATAAATTTAATTAACTAAAAGTTTAAGTAAAAATAACACACCTAAGAGATATTAATTTAGAAGTCAAACAACAAAAATCAGCATTATATTTTCAAATTTTCACAGGACTCGTTTCGATGGTTTTATTGAACCATCATCCTCAGCTGAAGATTTTGGGGTACTTTTTTGTTTTGCCGGCGCAAATCTTGCCAAGCAGACTTTATTGGCGGCAACATACAGTATAAACATAAAAAAATTTTAACAAATGTTAGTTCTTATGAATTTTTTATTTTAAAGGCATAAACTTTTTTAAATTGTTTAAAATTTTGTAAAAAGCCAATATATAAAAACAATAAATTTGTAAAATGACATTAATTTAAGAATTTACTATGCTTTTATAGTTCAACAACCTGATTCGCCAGTTCATATCACGTAACCCCAAGTGATCTCCTCTCACGTAAACTAGTTACAAAAATTTTATTCTCTCAGTAATTATCTGCATTAATTTCAAGTTAAATTTTAATTTGGAATACAAGTTTAATTGAAAGAATTATTTAAATTCATACGAACAGCTTACTCAGAAATTATGTAAAACTGCAGGCTTTACTTCGCTAGTGCATTTTCATTAGAATTGATGAATTTAATCCTTGACTTTGCCTTTTCTATAATTTCGGCTTCGGGTGAGCAGCGCAATTGCATCCTAACTGACTTAATTGCAGCGAACAGGTTAACGGTGTGATTGCATCCTAATTGACTTAATTACCACGAATGGCCTTAGGGCATAAAATTGAACTATCTGGTAAAAATTCTATGTAATTGTATGCCAGTAGTGAAAGAAACAATCAATCTGATAAGAAATGGCTGTGACTTGTTTTGAAAATGAGACGTAAATGTTACCAGCGAGGGCATTCCGTTTGGCATCAGTTGTACCATTATTGGTGACTTTATCGCTTGCGCCGGCAAAACGGAAAAGTACCAATTTTCGTTGTTTGACTTAAAAAATAAAAAAAAATTCCTAAATGTTATCAAGTAATTAACATTAAATTAGGATTGCAATTTCCTGAAACCATATACAATAGCATATATTTTTTTAAAGACATTTACCTTATCACTATTCAAAAATTTTTATTCAAAAAAATATTTAATAAAAAAGCATCATTAAAATCCTGATATCACAAAATTTTGCAGTTTAAAAGAATAGTGAATTATGCATATAATTTACTATAATATTTAAGAAATTCAAATAGTTTTAGAAAAAATTTGAGAAATTATACATTAAAAAGCTACAAAGTAACTACAATTCAATAACAGTTAAGTGTCTTTTTAATTTAAAAATTCCTTGAATATTTCAGCTAATTTATATCCATTTCCCACTCTTTTAACACCATATTTACTTTCTTACAGTTTAATACAGAAATCAAGTTTCTACTAGTCTCTGCTTCACCAGCTAATCTGTTTTTGTACAACAAACACCAGAGAGCCTAACAACTTTCCTTTGCTTTATATAATCAATTTCTTCCTCAATAATATACTCCTTCACCTTCTAATTTCTGGATTTATTTAAAGACTTTTTTATATTCTAAAAAACTGCATGTATTCAGAATGCACAGAAGAAAATCCTAATCTCATTTCTTTAATAATAAGAATATTGAACGCAACTCCAAAAATATTCTGAAATTATAAGGTACACTGCAATATATAATATAAATCTCTTAAATAATAAATTTTCAATAGTTTTATTGATACAGAAGTTCCTTTCTACAGATGCCTGTCCACATTTTTCAGAAGTCACAAGATTTTTCCAGATTTTTAGCCAATAATCATGAATTTTGCTTTCGATCTTACTACAAAATTTCAAAGTATGCTGGATCAGGAGCAAAAAGCATATCTTTCATGTATTTTATTAATTACGCTATAGATTTTATTAATACATTTCAAATTATAACTTCACAATTTTCTAAATATTGAAAAAGTTTTAAAAAAATGTGCAATTACCAATTGGGAGGAACTGTTTTCGGTATGTAAACCATAATTTACTTCTGATCTCCTCTTGTAACATTTCAAATGTGTCACCTAAAATATATATATATATATATATATATATTATATATGTAACATTAATAAAAATCAAACTATTAATGAAAAGCCATTCTATATGTTTGCTTTGCTTTGAAGTAGTCTAAACTGAATTCCATAGACAAAAGAAAAAATTTTATTTATTACATTAGTAAATAATTTAATTCTAAAACATCAGAAAAATATACTTTTTGGGGATATACAATGATCAACCAATATAATATCCATGTCAATATTTTGGTTAGTAATGCAGACCCATGACCATTATTTACCTCTTCCCAAACAAAAGTGTCCCCCACCCTCGTAATGATGATATTTGCATGATAAAGACAAAAAATTCGATTAGGTGAAAATTACATGGAAGCACGATAAAATGTACTATTCTAGCAAGTCATTACTGTACTCAGCACAATCTTACCTTCACCTGTTTTGGTGTGTTCTAAGGCTATGGCTTATCATGTAGGTTACATAACACAGTAAAAATCTGTAATGTAAAGAGAGACATACCATAAAAGTGTGTCCAACTAAGCTGAAATTTTTGTGTTACTAAGAGAAAAATGTTTACTTGACCATGGCTATGCTATTATAATCAAACAGGAACAAACAAACTCATTGAACTTGATTGGATGCAAAGACTGCTTTACTTAAATATGATATAAAAATTTCTCGCATTCTTTGTAACCTAGGTATGTAGAGTGCCAGAGTATACAGTTTGAAATGCAATTTTGGTAGCAAACATTCAGATTTTAATCAGAAACATTTTTACAAAGAATGCAAAATTTCCGTATTTCACTCACTAAAAAGTCAAAAATATACAAATCATTTACCTAAAAATGGAGAAGAAATGAGTTTTGATATGCACTGCTTTTCAGAAATTAAGTATGAGATGCAAATTCTGAACTTTATAAATCATGTTATAATTTTATAATTTAAAATTCATGACAAATTATTATATTATGTGACCAATTAAAACCGATTCTTTACAAATATGCCAACATGGCATTGGTTAAAAAAGATGCACTTTTGATGCCTTTGAGTAAATAAGTTTAATTGCTGATAAATTTTTCAAAGGTAACTCTGGTTATTTTTTTACTAGCCAGGAACAATTTTGGGTTATGTTTCTGAAAAGCTGATATACTGTCAGATTAAAGAAAGGCAAAGTGCATAGAATATTCTGTCTTTTCTCGCCTTTGGAAACAATTTGAAATGCTACGGTCAGTTATCTGAAGAACAATAACGGTTCTTGAGGTGTTACTATACCTTCTGGTAATAAATGTATTACTTTATTAGCTAAGGAAAATCATGTTAATTAAACATTTGGAAAGTCAATATCTGTGATTATTACATAATGAACACTACATATGGTACAACCACATATTCAGGCATCACCATGTTGTGTCCGTTAAGTATCAAAAAACAGAAAAATACAGTAGTGGAGTCGTAATCATGCAAATTGGAACACAGCTTAATGGTTCAGCATATTGCTCATAGATGAGTCAAAATTTCACTGAAATCCCATAAGAGGCATGTGGAAATCTGGAGAGACCAACACTACAGCAGCTGCACTAGACTTTTATTGTTATGAATGATAACAATAAACACAATGTGCACATACAGCAAATCTGGTAGATGGATACTTCAAGCTTGAAAATGTGTACTTGCATGAAATTGTCATATTTGCTATAACCCAATGCTATTAAAAATCTTTGAGATGCCCTTGGACATGTTATCCTAGTCATGCATAACCTCCAGCTACTAACAAGGAATTGGAAATTACTTAAACAGAAGAATGGTAATTATTGCCTAGTATTGTGCTTGACTCCTAATTCAATTTACAAAATGCTGCTATAGAGTTTGTATGAAAGTTAAAGGTAACCACATCCCTTTTTAATATAAACTTTACCTGTTCGCATATTTTAATTTAGAAAATATGATGTATAAATGATTGCAAATACTTATTAGCATTTTATAAAACAATACACTTCTTATAAAACAATTTACTCCTTTGCATCTATGTACCATTTTGAGACAATCGGAGCATAACTTTTCCAAATAGGTTGAACTTACTGTTATATGCTTAAGTATGAAAAAGCAGTATATCTCATTCAATTACATCATCATTAAGACCTCTAAGAAATGATCATTTTTTTGACAAAATATTTAATGAATGTATTTAAAACATTTTTATTTTGTTACAAAAACTGTGTTAAAAATTTTGAAGCTATAAGTCTGAATAATACCAAAATACAAACTACTGATATTTCAAGTCACATAAAACTGAAAATCTCTGAACTCACACATGAATTCTTTTATTACTCTCTAGGACAGTAAAACATTTCCAGATCTATCATTTACTGCACAATTTTTTATATTTCATTGTGGTTACCATCAAAGTTTGAAATTCACATGACATTTTTAGAATTGGGATCACTACAACAGCAAACAAAGACATTGATTTACTTCAATAATATCAACAGAAATGAAAATTGCAAAAGTCATCGGCATTTAACAACCTATGGTGCACTTAACATCCTGGTTAAGAAATTAAAATGGTCTCTTTTTTACAAACAAACGTTAAGACTACAAATTCAATTTATTAATATCAATTCATTAGTTATCTATCTTCAGTAGACAGAAAAATACAAAAAACAGAATTAGTCCAAAGTGGCAATTTCCCCTAAAAAACTATTAATTTCGTTTTGGTATTTTTGGCCAAAAACTTTTAAAGGCTATATCACTTTTCAAATTGTTGCCACCATATAATAACGGCGTGTCTTAAAGAAATTAAATAATGAAAAATCTGCATAAATGTATGCATATTTCTCCCATTGTGATAAAACAATGGTACCTACAGCCATCAAAAATTGAATAGCATAATCTTCCACAGAATATGGGCATGTGGAAGCCCTAATTTGAAATTGAAATTTGTTTTATTATCGATTTTAGATTTTGTAACACTCCAACAAATTTTTGATCAAAAAACTAAACGATTTCAAAGTGAGCAATGGCAACACTATACGGAAAAAACATTTTTATCTCCAGCGCACGAGACTATTGGAAATTCTAAAGATATGCTTATTTTAAAATTAATTTGCCATATTGCCGTTGAACTGAATTTTATAGTTTGAGTAGAACTTGATATTTAATATATAAAGGTAACGCACAAAACATTTAAAAAATGCCCCTTTGGACATAATTTAAAGTCTGAAACCTTTCAGATTTTTTTAATTAAAATTGTTTTATATGTCTGTGCAATGCAGCAGGAGACATATTTTAAGAAAAAGCTACGCCAGAAAAGTAAAAATACAAGAGTGCACACATTTAACATTTAATAAATAGATATCTCGTAATTTATACTTAAACTGAATAAATGTAATTGACTGTGTTAACTGTAACCATAATCCTACTCTTTTGCTTTAAAGAAATCTCGAAAAGCAAAAGAAATTACTAGAACTCTCTCATGACCAATTAAAAGCTTTAAAAAGCCAGAGAGTGACATCTCAGTTGAGTTGTTTAGTTAGCTGTTTTTGTTGATTGTAGCAAATTCGCAGTGAGATTAGATTAGCGTTCTCTTTGTATTGCATTGTATTTTAATATTTTTAGCAGTTTAAAGGATAACTACTGATTATATTGTGTGATATTGTACGAATATCCTTACCTTTTACAAGACTTGTGAAATCAATCGATTACGAACTCATACACACACAACAATATTTAAAAAAAGAATATTTTTAGAATTTCTGAGACACTCTCACACACTAGGGATAAAAATTTTTTAATCCCTACAGTGTTGCCACTGCTCACTTTGAAATCGTTCAGTTTTTTTTTTTTTTTATCAAAAATTCACTAAAGTTTTATAAAATATGAAATAGGCAATAAAACAAATTCCAAATTCGGGCTTTCAGGTACACTCATGTTCAAGTGAAGAACTATGTTATTCAAAATTTAATGATTCTTGGTGCTGTCATTCTTTCACAATGCAATAAACATTCAAACATTCATGAAGATTCTTCATTATTCAGTTCCTTTACATATAATACAGGGCAATAATATTTGGTGGCAGTAATTTGAAAAGCTATACATTACATTTAAGTGATTCAATGCAAAATACCCTTTCAAGACTAACAGCCCTTCTGAGCTAATGCCCCTTTGAGCTAAAAAAAAAAATTTACTTTACAACTGGTTAGACTATAATAGAAAAGTATATGACTATATTAGAAAAGTATATAATGCTTCTTATCCCAGTTATATGGTAAAAACTATTATTATTTATTACGGAGCTTCAAATTTTGAAGTTGACAAAATAGTTTTTAAAAACATTGCAACCCTTTTGATATTTTACATGAAGATGTCCCATCCACATTAATCATGAAGTGATTAATCTGCAATGTAAAAAAGAAGCAAACCAAAATTTAAAGGAAGATAGCAATTTTTAATCTTAGAAAAATTAATTTTCAAATTAATTTTTTAAAATACATTACATTTTTAGGATTAATTTAAAGGATACCTTCTTATTATCACAGCTTCTATTACTTAAATTGTGTCAAGCACCTTTCTATTTACAGACTGTGCCAAAATGGAAAGCCTACTTACAAAGTTCTTTTCGTGTCAAATTAACTATAAGAAACCCTAATGAGGACTGCCCGCCATCTGGTCATAGCTTGCGAAGACTTCCGAGTATGGTTGCCTTTTGGCACAGTTCATTAATAAAAAGGCTGCTGGTCCTGTTTAAACAGCATGAGTCATCCTTTAAAGCATTTTTTTTTAATCAGATAACACTGAAGCTTATAAATAAAACAAGTGTACCTGCACACACTTGGCTATTGATAAGTAACATTTTTCCTTACCAGTTGTTGCAGACTGGCGATAGTACATAAGCGGATCCGAAAGAAAGGCTACAAGCACCAGCATATGTAAAGTAATTATTCGGGAGGGAATACATTATCTTCAGAGTGTAGGCAGAAAGCAATGTTTGTATAGCAGTGGTTGTGCTGGGTAGGTAGAGTAA